GAAACAAAATAGAGAGAGTGTAAACCATAAAAAAAAAATAGAGAGAAAAAAATAAGTAAAGAGGAAATATAAATTTTAATTAAATACGAATGATAAATCAAAAAAATTTTAGAAATTGAAAAAAAAAAGGAAAATATGAAAATCTCAATGTTAGAGTTTGTATGCACATATTTTCCAAATAAAAAAAAAATATATATACACATATTTACTTTGTAAACATAGTTAGAGAATATTACAAAGAAAATAAAAATCTTCTACTTATACTTTTCAATGTTAAAAAAAGAAATTACATAAAATAAAAATTTAACGATGTTGTAAAATAATAATAATTTATTTATTGTTAAGAAAGTGTAAGATTTGACGAGTATAGATCTCTATGAAAAATAAACCGATGACATCAATGCATTTGTAATAAGATATATCTGGTTCTGCATAATATGAATTAGGACATGAGAATTAATATATAAATTAAATTTCAATGGTTTAAGATCCATGTTAAAATATTTCTACAAAATACTTTTATAAATATTTTTGTAATTTAACGGGTTACTAATTAAAACTTAAGTTTTGATATTAATAAATTTTAGTGTGTTTATCCGCGTATTAACGCGGGTCCTAATCTAGTTGATGATAAAGAGACAACATTTCTAAATTTTTCTAAAATTTTTACGGTTAAAAATTAAAAGATACAGAGATGAAAAGACGTAACATTCTAAAGTAAAAAAGAAAAGACAACTTTGTATCTTTTAAAAGTTGCTTTGTTTTTTTTATGTTGATAACTCCGGATATGCAAATGGGCCGAAAGCAAGGGTCCATATCCATGTGGATGTCCAGAATAACTTAGTTTCGCGTAGCAGGTGGATCGAGCTTGGAACATTTTGGCATTCCAGTCCGGTCTCCTTACCACTTGACCACAGTATCATGCACTAAAGTTGCTTTGTTTTGTTATTCATTACATTTAGTTGGCAGATTTTGGTCTCAAAATAAAATCACGAATCCAACAAGAATTTTACTGTTAATTTATGACTGAATTCTGGTTCATCATGGGTTGGGATACATCACAATACATCACTTTTAGTTCACTCCCATTGATTATTAGAATCGTTTAATTATGCGGTAAAAATGCCAAAACAGCGTGTAGGTGTTTTTGTGCCATTAAAACCAAAGAAACGACGACAAAAAAAAAAAAAACCCAAAGAGACAAACAGATGTCTCGTCTCCAAGATCACCATCATCATCATCCCTTGTATGTCTCTCCATCTATCGTCTCCTCTTCCTCGTAATCTCCGGGAACTTGAGAGGTACCGGTAAGGTAGCAAGCACAATTAACTTGTCACGCGTAATTTTGCAGCCAAGGTTCTCAAAATGCTTCCTCACATCAACTTTGCTCATCCTAAGATCTTTAGCTATGTCTTCTGGGTTGGTCTTGAAGTTATCCACGTGAAGGGCAAGGACAAGAATGTATCTTATCAAAAGGTTGATCCTATCAATAGGTATCTTGTCCGATTCAGGATCCTTGAACAAACTCATACATTTCTCACGGATCATTCCCGGAAACCTGTGGTCTTTAGCCGAATCGAAACCATTCATTGAATTCATGTCCTTAAACTTAACCATATGTGTTAGGAGTGATAAGACACCACAAACCGTCTGCTTTCTCAGTCTCGTCCTGCAAACAAACGAAATGAAATCAATATGAAAATATAAATATGTGTATTTCCAAGAAAATGATTAGAATGAAAATGTTACCTTGATAGCTCGCAACTTGTACAATCTATTGCTCACAAATAGAGGGTAATTATCGGTTACTGCTTCAGTTTCTTGCTGCAGAAGCAAGTAAATATCTTGAAGGAAGAGCCATTCTCCTTTTTCAATGATCTTTTGTATAGGATAAGCTTCACTTGGAGTCGTCGCAGAGGTATCGTAAGGAGGAATGTTGCGAGCAACAATTGAATTGCTTTTAAGAGCACTTGCCTTAACATTTACTTTGTTAAGTTTCCCTTTAAGTAACTCCTTTGTCAAAGGATCATATCCTAGGTTTAAGCCGCGCTTCTTCTTGTTCTGCATAGAGAAATACATTTATCATTACTTACATATAATCCTATCAACAATATCAATATCGGATTCCAAAATAGGTTACCAATTAATGAGATGCAAACAAGGGATTAAGCAAATGTTATGAGTATTGCATCTTTGTATAGAAAAGATGTAAAGATAAGAAAGGCATACCCGATTAATAACTTGCTCTGTACAAAAACGTTTGGTAAGTTTTTTCGTTGCTTTTCGTTTTAGTCGTTCTTCTTCGGTAAGTTCTGAGATGTCCTCATTGCCTGAAGATTCGGTATCCGAACCTTCTGAAGCTTCCAAATCGACTGTTTCTTTAATTACTCTTGGCTCCAATCTGACTATCTGCAAATGAAACCCAAAACTTTAGTTCTACATTAATTATCTAAAGGAAACTATATTCTTTCTTTAGGAAACATCAATTTTTTAATTTTATATGTTTTTCACAAACCATACTCTCAAACTTTCCCAAATACTCTCAAACCATAGATAAAAGCATACTAATATATGCAAGCTCGACTAATGCAAGCTCGTACGTGGAACACATGCATACTATGTTAAACATATATATGGACTTAAAAGACCGGAACTAAACACAAATTAAGTTTCTACGAGTTTAGGTCATGATACCTAATTTGTCATCGTAATCTTTAATATTTTTTAAAGTAGACTCGAAGTGATTTGCACAATGGTAAAAGTAGATTATAAGAATTCAAGATTCAACCTTATTATGAGCAATGGGAAGAATTTTCAATGTACGAGTCTCTTTATTAAGAACACCTAGTTTATAGACACAAGTCTGTCTAGCCGTTTGTTCGCCAGTGTAATTCGAGCCAACGAACTCCACGTTTGAGTCAGGTGGGCTAACCACAACCTGAAGCCTCTTCTTCGACTCATCCTTATGCCTATAAACCGTAACCTTAGGAGTTTCTATGACTCTAGATTCTGGATTTTTAGCGAAAGGATCGTATCCTGAAGCGAAATAAGCGACAATCGGAGGGACTCTATCAGACTTGTCAGATATTTGCTTGATCTTGATCTTCATTGTCTTGCCTTCGTTGTGATTCTATGGAAACTCACCAAAAAATTGTTTAACCCTAAATTTGGTGATCGAGATTGTTTGTTTAATCCCTAACCTAGTTTTTCCCTAAGCTTTAATCTGACTGAAAAAAGATCTCACAACGTTATTTCGGTATGTCGGTAACTAAGCCTCGATTTTATTGTAGATAACACAACGCGTAGTTTTTTCCAATACAACAAAACTACACGTTGTTTGTGAAGATCCCAATTTACATTTATCTAATTGACTAACATTAATTTTCCTATTAAAAACAACAAACCTCCAATGCTTTGGCAACATACCTTTTTGTTTTAACTGACTAATGGATTCTATTTTTTCTAGATACGTCAAATTATCAAAATTAGTTTCATACTTCAAGTTAAATATGTATAGGGCTAGTTTCACTATCAACAGTTAGAGGTACTTCAACACTTGTTTTTTTTTTTTTCAATTTGATTACGAGAAAAAGTCTCCTCCTTCAATCCAAACTAGCCGAGAGTTTAGCATATTCAACTTGAAGTAACAACAAAAACTAACACAAATATTTTACTTTTGTTACCCTCACTACGATAACTTGCGAACACTCGATGATATTGTATATATGTAAAAAGTAAAAACATATATATAAACCCATTACATCGAGGTGATGTTTTTATACCACTTGCAAGTTACAACATTGATCTAATAGTTAAACAGCACAGTGGATAGATTGATGGAATTTGATCTCTACTTTCAACTAACTTAACCTAAACATAGCGAGTAGGTGAGTACTCAACCACCAAGATCATAATAATTGGTAGGATTTATTATTTTCTAACAGACGAAAATTTGTAATTGATAAAAAAAAAAAATAGAATAGAGCGTTATAGCTTCTAATTAATCTCTTATTACCAAGTCGATTTTACATCCGACGCATTCATTAGGCACATGTAATACTATATATGAAAGTAAAGAAGAGGTAAAACTTTTCCAACATGAATTTAAGGTAAACATTAAAAACTTGAGTTTGATTGTCCTTCGAAACACTTTCACCTCCATTTGGTCAGTCGAAATGGTGTTAAACGTTAGGCCTATTAGAAAATCCAGTGAGTAGGCTATTCGACGGCTACACTCATCATGGAAGACTAGTCACGTGGTCAAAACCATGGTCACCCTGTCGTTATAAATGGAAAAAAAAAGACCATTTATTGAGGGAAAGTCACCTTCCAAAATAACTTGCATGTATTTAACAAAAGAGAGAGTGAACTAACTAAACCAATCATGTTGATCTCTTATCGAAACAAACCTACTAAAAACTTGTTTATGTGCTCATGGTAAAATAG